TGTGTGTGTGTGTGTGTGCATACATACGTGGTATGTGTCCATATGTTAGCGTGGGCACATGTGCCCATGCATGCTCATGTGGAGGCCCAAGGAAGAGGTTGGGTGTCTTTTTTTTTTTTATCATTCTTTACCTTACTTTCAAGATTAAAAAAAAAAGTTGGGGCTGGAGAGATGGCTCAGCGGTTAAGAACATTGACTGTTCTTGCAGAAGACCAGGGTTTGAATGCCAGCACCCACATGGCAGCTAACAACTATCCATAACTCCAGTTCCAGGAGATCTGACGCTCTCTTTTGACCTCCATGGACATTTCACAACACGGATGTACTTCCGTACATGCAGGCAATACATATATACACGTAAAATAATAAATTTTTTAAAATTTATGTCCATGTATGTGAGACTGCATGAGTTTCTGTGCACCACATACATGTAAGGTACCCACAGAGACCAGAGGGCATCCAATCTGCTGGAAATAGAACTACAGGCAGTTGTGAGCCACCTAATGTGGGTGCTGGGAATGGAAACCAATAAAACATGTTCAGATTCACACTTTCAATTAGTGTAATTAGGAAGAAAGACTCAATGCAAGATTTTGAAACCCTAAAAGAAACTCAAAACAAAATATTGCTGTTAAAGTACTATCAGGATTTAACAAATTTAAACAAACCACTATGCAGCCTATAACTTGGTCAACTGAAATGGAAAATATCTGAAAATACAAAAAAAAAAAGAAGCAACAAGAGCTTTCTCTTACTAAGCGCCTCACCAGAAAAAGCCTAAAGAAGCCCAAGTCAAAGATAAAGCACAAAGTCTGCAGTTGAAATAGTAGAGCCAGCAGTGATGTAAGAATCAACAGTGTTATTGAGGCAAGACAGAAAGATGAAAAATTAAGGGGCTATGGGAAGAGCAGGAAACTCTTCACCCAGGATCTAGTCTGTATTTCTGCCAACCAAGAGTCCAGAAAACTTCTACACAACTGATAAAATCAGAATTGCCTACAGAGATAGTACTGGCCTGCATAAAGCCATCTCAAACAAGGATGTTAAAAACAACAACCCAGAGCCGGGCCTGGTGATGCATGCCCTTAATCCCAGCACTAGCGAGGCAGAGGCAGGCAAGTTCAAGGTCAGCCTGGTTTACGTAGTGAGTTCCAAATCAGCTGGGGCTACAGGGAAACCCTGTTTCAAAAGGACCAAAAAATCACAACTCAGTGCTTACTTAGGGTTAGTGCCAGCACGTCCATGGCCTTGTGTTTAACTGTATCACTTCTCTCTTGTCCCAAACCCTAAAGATATCCATCATGAAACCACCTAACAATTTTGTTTACAAAAAGAATGTTTCTTTTATTTTATTTTTAAGTTGTATTTTATTTTAAGGCAGGGTCTCATGTAGCCCAAGCTCGCCTCCAACTCACTATGTAGCTAGGATTCTTGATTCTCCTGCCTCCACCTCCCACAGCTGGTGGAATTACAGGTGTGAGCTAGGAAATTCTTTAAGACGATAGATAAACCAGCTCATATTCTACTTAATTTTTAAACTTTGCTTAAACCTTGTTGTAAATTACATCTTTTGAGCAATGTGACTTAAAAACATAGAATCTTATGCATAGCCGGTGTAAAGATACTTTAAGTATGACTCTTAAGAAGCCCACCCATGTTTACTGTGTATACTGTCTTTTTCTCAAGCCCCTAGTGATGCTTAGAGTTGGACTTGGCCTGGAACCAGGCTTCCAGGCACATTCCTGAGGAATTGTTTAGAAGATTGTCTTTTGGGCATGCCTGAGACATTGTTTAGATAGGTTAACTGAGGTGCGTAGACCCACCTTAAAAGAGAGTAGCTGCCTTCCCTGAGCTGAGTGCTGGACTTAGTACAGACGAGGAAGCTACCGGGCACAGGCATTCCTCACTGTCTGCTTTTTGACTGTGGAAGCAATGTGACCGACCAACTCAAGCTTCTGCCTCTGCCTCTGAGAGACTTCCTCACTAAGATGGAGCTGTGAGCCTAAACAAACCCTTCCTTAAGTTGCTTTTGTCAGGTATCCTATGACAGCAACAAGAAAGGTACCTAAGACACACCCCGCTCCTTCACTTGAATCCAAAGTTATTATTACCCGGTACTGCTACTTAATAAACTCGATAACTGCTTCACTCTGACTTATCCTGAAATGTTTTTCTGTGGTGTAGTCAAGGTCAGCTTTACTAGAGTGGAGGTCATGAAGAAGGGAACTCCTACTGGCAGACTGTGTCTCCCCACCACTGACATTATGGGCTGAATTATACCTTCCTGCCAACATTTATATGTTGAAGCCCTGACCACCAGTACCTCAGAATCTAGCTATATTTGAAGATAACGTCTTTAAAGAGATGATTCATACAAAAACAAGACCTTTAGAGGTCAGTCCAACAGGGCTGGATTCCTTGAGAGGAGGACACGAGGGCTGTGCATGCACAGCAGCAGGGCCACGTGAGGACACAGTTGAAAACAGCTACTTGTCTACAAGCCAAAGAGAGCAGCTTCAAGATAAAGCAGACCTACCAACACCTTGATCTGTGGACTCCAGCTTCTCAACAGGGGGAAAAATCCACATTTCCTTTGTTTAAGCCTCCCAGCCTATAGTAGTTCAGCGTGGCGACCCTGCCAGATGAATATGACTAACCTAAGTTAAACACCACTTCCCCTTCCTCTCAGAGTTAGTTCCAAGATGAAGTAGTCTGTGTCCAAGTTTAGCAGTCAGAGTGACTGGAAACACTCAAACCAATAATAAGCAACACTTCACCAAGCTTTAAGTAACTCTAAAACCAAAGAAAGATGACAATTTCCACATTGAGTTGCTATTATCCAGTCATTTCCTATATTGACCACTCTCCATCAGTTTCTTTAAAAGTGTTTTGTTTTTGCTTCTGTTTGGTTTTTGTCCAGTTTGAATCTAAAGAGCTAGTAAGGAATTTCCTCCTACTAAATCCAACTGTATCCTTTGTTTTCTTCCCGATGCGAGAATGGGACACCATATCCCACAATTGCTAACCTTTACCAGATACCAACTTCAGTCTTCCCTACCAAACACTGACCCACACTTTTACTAAGATGCCACTGCTCCACCTACCATGTGCCCTTCAGAAACACCCTCATCCTGGCTGCAGAAATGTGCTTCACTGTGAGAGCTGGAGGCTCTGGGGGCCCTTCCACGCACCACACAGGAGCCCAAAGTCCTATTTGCAAAGCAGAGCTTTCATCTGAGGCATATGACCAGTGGATGACCTAATCCAGTCACTCCAGAAACTTGATGGTGTTTCCACCCCAAATGTGTGACTTCAGACAGAATAGCACATACCCTTCCCTGATTCCCATATCTTCTGAGTCACAGCCTCTTCCTGTACCTTGAGAAAAAATGGACTATGCCATACATCCCCAAATGTAGAAAGAACTCAGTTTTTCAAGCCCATCCTGGAGGCTCTGGCAGCTCCATGGTATTTAGAAACTGTATTTTTAACAGGAAAATTGTCACTGAGATGATTGCTAATCTCAGTCGAGGGTAAGGAACACACAATGCTTCCAAGGGTCAGGAGAAGTAGGACAAGGGTAGGCCAGGGCCTGGGGGTGGGGGTCTACTCATCTGTTGCAAACAGTACTCATAAACATTCCTCCACAGCTTTGAGTGCCTGAATTTGTCAAATAGGTTTATTAGAAATACAGTATGGCTCAGCTTGCTGCACGGTTTGTCATACAAAGAGGCAGCATTTGTCAAGCTTTTGGTAAAGTCCAGACACAGTATTTCACACACTGACACAAACCTGAACTAGTGTTTAATCTGCCCTCCGAAAGAAAAAGTATGCAAGTAAAGCCAGACCTACCAGAGTTCAAAAATGAGAGCTTGTTTAGCCGCCTTAGTGCTAACCAAGCTACAAACTGTCACACAGTCTTCCACCTGACAAACCAAGCTCGAGGACAGCCTGGAAGGTTCAATTAGAGTTCTCACGCCCAACTCAATTCTGGGCCACTTGTGGATGAGCAGCCCTGGCCCTAGTGGGTGGACAGAGCTCCACTGCTCCCCACCTGCACTCCTTGCCCCTAGGAACCTCTTGGGCACATCTCTGGACCACCTGCCCAGTCTCCACAGCCTCAAAAAACAGTCTCTCCTTGGGTACGCCTCATGGATCAGGTGTCTCCTCCCCACTGGCTAAGACAAGCTTGGAGCCCTTTGGGCAGAAAATCCCATCTAGCCTTAGAGGAGGAAGGAACAGTGTGGAATCTGGATGATGGACTACCCTGGACTTGAGATTTCTAGCTCCGAGTGGCGGGGAGGTCGCAGCCTGGAGAAAACCTGGGGGTTATATAGGGAACATCTTTTCCCAGGTCTTAAGGCAGGACAGATGAGAAGCCCTCTTCCTGCTTTCTCGCGACTTGACTGCTTAAAGATGAATAAACACATGGTAAAAGAGGATTCTTCCCCGAAGGAAGGAGGAAAGAGTCAGAAGGGCCAAGATCCTTGCCCTGGGGCCTAAAACTTCCTCCTGCTTTTGGAACACCTCTGCAGAGGCACCCCAGGAGCCCTACGAACTGGTGGGTGCCGCTAGGACAGGGAAGTCCAATCCTAGCGTTCACTGAGTGGAGGTGGGCAAGGGAGGGTTGGGCCTGCTGTCTGTACGGTCTTGGCCCCTTCTCCCAAGTCTGTCAATTTTCTCGGTTTCCACTGTTGAGTCTTACCGTGAGAACAGTAAGAACTGTTTAGCGCGCGGCTCTGGGTACTTGCAGTTGGAACCCCAGAACTGCAGATGTGCTGGGAGCACAGGGGCAAAGGGGGCGGATGGGAAGAGGCCAGATGCTAAACCCGCAGAGGTGTTGGGGGGCGAGGGTCGGAAGTCACCGGGCCGGAGGTGCAGAAGCCGGGAGTCTAAGCCCCGGGGGGCCGCAGACTTGCGAGCGGCGAAGGGGTCTGGAGGAAACGCCGCCAGGGGAGCGGCCACCCAGTGCTCTGCGCTCGGAAGACGCGGCCACTCACCCAGCAACAGCAGCTTGAGTTCGCGGCGCGCGTCCTTCTTGTCGCGGCGGAGCTGCCTCTCGATTTCCGCGCTGATGCGCTGCGACTCCTTCTCCTCCGCGGACAGGCAGCAGCAGCCCGCCATGGCGCGCCGCACCGACGGGGCGACGCCGACCCCGCGCCCGCGCCCTCGCCTCCGGGCCGCGCGGACTGTTTATGCTCTGCACAGCGTCTGGAGAGACGCTGGCAGGTCTGGGGTTTGCAGGAAGGGGCGGGGACCTCCCGGGCTGAGCGCTCCCCTAAGGCAGCTTCCAGCCGAGGGCAGGCAGCGCCTCTGTGCACGCAGCCCCGCGGGAAAGAAGCGCGAGCAGACGGCGCGGAGGATGTGCCCCTGGCGAGGAGCTGGGCACCCAGCTAGGCGGCGCAGGTCACACGTTCAAAGTTGGAGCGTCGGTGCGGCGGGGAGCTTGGACTCTCGGGGGTCTGGGGGTGTCTCAGGCTGGCAGCCGGCGCCGGGTGGGTTGCAAGCAGAGGAGCGCTGCGCAAGCCTCAGCAGCGACCGCAGACTGACACCGAGAGGAAGGTTCCTGCAGGCGCTAGTGGCGCTGAATGACAGGAGGAGGCGGAGCGTCTCGAACCTGCAGCCCCAGCGTCAGTGGCGTTGGCGCACCCGGAGCCGCTGGTGCTTGGGGACAAAGGGGAGCGGTGAAGAGGCCGGAGCGCCGAGCAGCAGCAGGCCGGCTTCCTTGGCCGCGGCGTCCGGGTGCAGGCAAGTCCGAGCTTGCTGTAACCGGCAAGCGCCGGCCGCCACGCACTTCCCTCTGCCAGATCCGGGTTCCGACAGGTGAGTTTCGCCAACTCCTAGCCTCGGTGCCCGGGTGGAGGCGGCGCGGCTGCAGGACTGGTGGACTGGACCCAACCGACACGGCGCGCCCGGAGCGGGGTTCAGGTCGCCCTAAAGCTGAGGATTGCCCAGCAGCCACTCCACCACTCACACTCGACGTTCCTAGACCGGCTCCTTGGCTTCCCGGTCGCCCCGGGCCGGGTTGGACTTGGTCCGAGCCCTGGGTCGGCTGGCAGCTGGCCTGCCACTTGTAGACGCGCCCGCTGGCTCTGCACTGGCGTGGCCGCTGGGGTATAAGACACAGCGAGAGCAGAGGGTAAACACCTCCCACCCTTCCTATTGCCCGCCACCGGATGAGGGGGCCAGGGACTGCAAGAGTGACAGGAAAACGACTAACTAGTTTGCATTTTATGATGGAAAAAGCTCCTACTTTGTAGACAGGCCTTGCACACCTGGCAAGTTCCCTGCCCCAGCTCTGACACCTGGCAGCCACCTTGGGACAGCCCCGTCACCCCGCTCCTGCAATGGTCGCGAGTAGAAAATCTGCCCGCACCCTTTACATTTCAAATGGCACGACGGACTTTGTGCAGAGTTTAAGGCACAAAAAGAGAGAACGGGGATCGTGAAGGGAGGAATCCTGTAGAGCACAGCAAAAAATGTTCTTTTCCTTCTAGTCAAGTCGACATATGCCGTGTACACACTTCACGGAGTCAATTAGCTAATGCTTCCTCGAGTGGGGTGCAGTGTGTCATTATGTAAAGAACTTGGTAACCGACGCTATCTGGCTGCAAAGTCTTATTTGCTTTACAGGTTAGGAAGTGTACAGCAATCGGGCTTTAAAACGGCTTGTGTTTTAGTTTCCTCCCAGGCATAAATTGACTGCAACAGTGACCCCTGCAGGACCTGGCCGGCTTCTCGGTTTCTTTCATCATCCACTTCCCTACTACAGACTCATTTACAACTTGAGAGTAAGCCTCACGTGGCTTCTCAAACTTCCACCTACATCATAATTATCAGTATTTCAGTTTTTAAAACCAGAGAAAATTTGAATTTCAAGTTAAGTGGAATAACTGACCTGTTAAGTTCCAAGTTACTGAGACTTCAAAAACAGAGACCATGACAGACCTGCCCTGGAGAAGTTGGAGATACATAACAGAAGCCTTCAGTGTGCTATGGCCCTTTGTGATTCTTGCCATGGGTGTGACCAGGAAGAAGCCCCACCCATTTATAGGCAAAGATTTTGTTTCAAATAACAACAAAAACTCAAAACGACTGAAATGTCAACACAGAATAAGCCAAATTATGTTTTATTCAAATAATGAAATATTAAAAGCCATTGGGTTAATATCTGAGTAACATTATGTTAATATGAATAACAAATGCCTTGTGGTGATGCTTTGGTTACTGACAGATGCCTGTGTCACCATGATCCCACAGTGTCTCTTGGGGCTAGGGCTGCATCTCCGTGGTAAAGCGCTTTCATTTAACACTCAGTGTTGAAAAACAGAAGAAGATTTCATCTCTAAGTGATAGACTAGCCATCTTAGCTTGTATAAAAACACTCCATGGGGTTCATGCACCAATGAAGCTGATTGGCCATGTATTCCTTAGCGTGTATTCCCATCATTAACACATAACTACACATAAATAACAAATTGAGAAAAACTTTCACAATACAGTCAGGAGAAAAGACAAGGCAGAAATACATAGTAATTTTACGTAGTAAAATTCAAATGGTATTATGAGAATACATACCTGCACTTTTAAGAACCTAAAGATGTACAACAGAAAGATCAGGTGCTGAGTCAAAGCCCACTGGTGGGCTTAACTGTCTGATGGAGCTACTTGGGGTTCCTCCCATACCTCACTTTCCTCGTAAAGTGATAGCGATGGACCAGAATACATTGGAAGGACTCATCCAACCCTAACATTCAGTTGTTTCTCTGATGATTTTCACTCTTATAAGCAGATATTTAAATGAATGTAAACTGGAAGTTGTTACTGTGCATCAGAAGCTCGGAAGAACTATAAGACAGGGGAACACAAGCCAAGGAGTTCCAAATTTCCGTGTTTTATTTGTTTTTATTTTCCTTACATTTAAGGTCTATGGAATAAGATCATAATGATTTTATATCATAACTTTGCTTGAAGCATCTTTCCAGGAATAGGTAGTTTTGAAGAGAATTCTTAGTAACAGAGATTGTTTTCCTAAATTATTCCCAATCTGCTGCAATTCCATTTGTTGTTTTGTTTATTTATTTTTTGAGACAAAGTCTCACTATGCAAACTTGACAAGCCTGGAACTTGATGTGTAGACCAGGCAGGCCTCAATTTCACAGCAATTCACCTGCCTCTTCCTCCCTCTGCTGGAATCAAAGGCTTGTTCCACCATGCCCGGCCTGCAATTCCATTTGATTCCTCTTACAAACTGGAGTTCAGACTAGCCCTGGGCTTCTGATGCACGCTGTGCTGGGCTCTGCAGGTGAGCTACCAGGCTGTTCCTCTGGAAGTCCACAGTTTATATCAGCCTGATACCAGGCACTGAGGATTCTGGTAGCCACATATCTAGAGTTCAGGTAGAGCTACAGTCTAAAACAAAGAAGAGACCCTGAAAGGTGTCTAAGGTAGAGACCCTGAAATCCAAACTACCCTTTGCTGCTTCCCAGGGGAAAACCACTCTCCCAAAGATGTACGGGGCAGAGCCTTGAGAACATCACCCCTAGGTTAGCTTTCTTGCCCCCACACTCCTGGAATCTCAGATAAATGCACCAGTGTACTCTCTACAAGCCTAAGTGCACACTGTCCCTTCTGACAGGAACACCATCTCTCACCTCAGGCAAAATTAGTTCATTTGTTTTCCAAACACATCTCTTCTGAGAAGCCATCTTCACCCCGTCTTGGTTGGAATCATGGTTCATAGCGGCCTAAACGCCTCCTGTGTTCATCCCTCCCACTCAAGCATACCTGTCAATCTCTGCTAATTCCTGTTACAGCTAGTTTTTTCTTGTTTGTCCTGCTAGTCTTATATTAGAAATTTTAATGAGCTGCATAAAAAGTGAAACCAAACCGCAGGGTGTGGTGGCACATGTCTTTAATACCAGCACTCAGGAGGCAGCATAGATGGATCACCGTGAGATAGAGGCTCGCCTACTCTACATAATGAGTTCTAGGCCAGTGGGGCCACAGGGAGACCTCGGCTCAAACAAACAAGGAAGTTGAAATCAAGAGAAATTCATCTGAAATGAGAGAAGAGAAAGCTCTTTCGGTGGAAGACAGTAAAACATAGTAATAATCGTTATAATTAATAACAAGTCCACTTGAATGAGTGCATGATTCTACAAAAAAAATGAGTGTATGGTTTAGTGAGAGCTTGTACCTGTGCGCTGTCCCCTTGGAGAGAATGACTGCCGTGATTCTAATGCAGAACTTCAAGGAAAAGAACAGCTGAGGACTGGAAGATGCTGTCTTCTCTTGCAAATGTATTACCTTCGAATTTCCGAAGTGCCATATGATCCATTTGTTCTGTTTCTAGGGACATATCTGAGGGACCCTAAGTCGCCACACCACAGAGATAACTGCACACCGATGTTTACTGTTACACTACTCATAACAACCACATTATGGAATCAGCCCAGGTGTCTGTTAACAGATAAATGGATTTTTTTAATGTACTATATATACACAACGGAGTTCTGTTCAGCCATAAAGAATAAAATTATGTTGATTGCTGGAAAAAAAATGGATGCAACTGAGAGCATATCAAGCAAAATAAGCCAGACACAGGAATAGATTTCTTGTGGGTCCTAGAATTCTGTATGCAGGGAGACTGAGGGGCATAAAGAAGAAATAAAGTTTTTTTAAAAAAGGAGTTAGAAAACACCAAGTAAAAGTGTGACCCTGCGGAAGTTTGTGAAGGCTTAGAGGTGATGCCTTTGTGTCAGTTTTTCAAATGTAATTGTGACTCATTCCTGGGCGTGACCAGTGTTTCTGTAAGGAGTTAAAGTATGAACGGATGCAATGAAGCATGCTGTGCCATGGAAGAAGAAATAAAGTTTTTTTAAAAAAGGAGTTAGAAAACACCAAGTAAAAGTGTGACCCTGCGGAAGTTTGTGAAGGCTTAGAGGTGATGCCTTTGTGTCAGTTTTTCAAATGTAATTGTGACTCATTCCTGGGCGTGACCAGTGTTTCTGTAAGGAGTTAAAGTATGAACGGATGCAATGAAGCATGCTGTGCCATGGCCACCACTGTACTGCAGCTCCACACAAAGGTACCTGTGTGCATTAGCCTTTCGTAAGCTGTGA